TATTGATAGCATATGAGACAGAACAAAAAGATCGAAGTTAAAAGGACAAAGAAATCGGATTAATCATATTGATAGCGTATGAGACAGAACAAAACGATCAAAGTTAAAAGGACAAGGGGAAAATAACTCATTAACATGGAAACACTAGTACATAGGAAAAACAACATCTAATCAAACAGAGCCTCTCCCCCACCCCCCAAAAAATCATAGGTAGCACAATAAATTCAAAGACAAAACCATATCATTCCAAGAGTATCACACGAAGGAATCAAATAAACCATATTAAGAGCACCAAAAGAATGAAAATTAAGAGTAAGATTTAAGGTTGTAGTTCTCCAAAATAAAATATTTTATAGTTTATTAAAAATTTATAATCTCAAATCAGTGGCTCACAAGCGCATCCACAAGTCACAACACACATCTAATTTAGGCCCCAAAACTGAGTTTCATGCCAATGTATTAGAAAATGAAAGATGGCAAACCGTTTAAGAACAAAAATTATTGCCAAAAAAAAAACACAGAAACTAGAAAAAAACAAATCGAATGTCTAACCCCTTAGCCACAAATACATAGCGCAATCGAATTCAAAGACCCAACCAAGTCGTCCCCCAAGGTAGGGAAAAGAAATTGGATGGACCGTATTGGTAACACAAGAGAATAGAACAAAACATCAATACTAAAAGAATAAGGTATTGATAGCACCATAAAATAGAATAAGGAAATAAAGAAATTGTTGGTAGAAAAATACTTGTACATAAGAAAGGCTTAAAAATCTTACAGAATGTCCAATCTCTTAGCTACAAGTAGGTAGCACAACAAAAATCCCAAACCAAATTGTACCAAAAGCAGGGCAAAAGGTTGGATGCGAGAGTAGTACAAAAGATCAAAATTAAAAACATGGCGAAAAAACATAATCTTAGTTGGAAAATATTAGTACACAGACAAACCTAATAAAAATCTATTTGAATGTCTACTCCTTGGCCAAAAATCTGGAAGAAATCTCTAAAGTACACTGCAAACCTAAACTCTAATCAAGTGCCCAACCCCATTAGCCACAAATAGGTAGAACAAAAAATATCAAAGCCCAGACAAGGTCGCCCCCAATGTAAGGGAAACAAATCAGATGAACCCTATTGAGAGATTGAGAGCACAGGAGGATGAAATAAAAGGTCAAAGTTGAAAGGATAAGAAAAAGAATAGGTTACTGGTAGAAAATATTAGTAAATATACAACAAAAATCTAATGGTATGTCGAACCCCTTAGACACAAATCGATAGCACAAACATCTTAGCCACGACTAGGTAAAAACCAAGACACTTCCCTGAGTAGGAAAAATATATTGAATGAACCATATCTCGAAAGCAGAAAAAGATGGAATAAAATAAAATTAGAATAATAAAGAAAAAATAAGATAAATAGTAGAAAAAGGCACATGCTTACCGAAACTTAATAAATATCTGGTCTAATCTATAGCCACAAATAAAATAGGTAGTAAACTGAAATTGAATTCCAAACCAAGTCATCACCAAGGTAAAATAAAGAACTTGGATAAGAAGAAAAGAAATGATAAATTTTAACATGATTAAAGAAATGTCTGACCCCTTAGCCCCAAAGGTTAATAATCGAATTCAAAAGTCAAACGAAGTCGTCCCCTAAAATAAGGCAACAAAATCCAATGGACCATAAAGATAGCACAGCAGAAGAAAACAGAACAAAAATACAAGGTTAAACAAAAAACGAAATAAATACATTATTTATAGGAATTAATTAGCACATGACAGAACCTAAAAAATCTAATTGAATGTTCAATCCATTAACCACAAAGAGGTAGCACAACCAAATTCAAAGAGCAAATCAAGTCGTCCTGAGGTAGGCAAGAAATTGGATAAATATTGATAGCACATGAAAACAGTACAAATCAAAGTTAAAAGCATAATAAAGAAAAGAAATAGGGCTTTAGTAGAAAAACGATTTGTGTGCATAAACAGAACTAAAAAGAATTAAATGAATGTTCAACTCTGTAGCGACAAACAAGTAGCAAAAATGAATTCAAAGCCCAACCAAGTAGTCCCCAAGGCAGGACGGAGAAATGAGATGAACATTTGGTTAGCGTAGGAGAAGAAAACAAAATATCATAGTTAAAAGGATAAGGGAAAAACATAAGTCATTAATAGGGAAACATAAGTACATAGAAGAAGAAGAAAAAATAAAAAAAAAAAAATAATAAATAAAAAAAAAAAAACAAAGTATGGAAAAGGAATTCGAGAAACCATATTAGGAGCACAAGTCCCTGAATATAAAGGGTCATCGCTAAGAAAATATTAGGACATAGACCAAATTAAAAAATATAATAGAATGTTCAACCCCTTAGCTGCAAATACAAAGCACAATAGAATTTAAAACCCCAACCAAGCCGTCCCTCAAGGTAGGGCAAGTAAATTGGATGGCAGTATTAATAGCACAAGAGAATAGAACAAAAAATCAATGTTAAAAGAATAAGGAAATAAGTGATCTATTCTAGGAAAATATTAATATATAAGAAGACTTAAAATCTAATCGAATATCCAATCCCTTGGCCACAAATAGGCAGCACAACCAAATTCAAGGCCCAAACCAAATCGTCCCCACGGGGCAAGAAAGTGAATGAACTGTATTGGTAAACACGAGAGAGTAGCACAAAGAATCAAAATTAAAAGTATAAAGAAAAACAGGAATTTAGTTGGAAAATATTAGTATATAGAGAAATCTAATTAAAAAATCCAATTCAATGTCCAACTCTTTAGCCATAAATTAGTAAAACCAAATTCAGTGCCAGGACCATGTCGCCCCCCAAGTATGACAAAGAAATCGGATTAATCTTATTGATAGCGTATGAGACAGAACAAAAAGATCGAAGTTAAAAGGACAAAGAAATCGGATTAATCATATTGATAGCTTAGGAGACAGAACAAAAAGATCAAAGTTAAAAGGACAAGGGGAAAATAACTCATTAACATGTAAATATTTATACATAGGAAAAACAACATCTAATCAAACAGAGCCTCTCCCCCACCCCCAAAAAAATCATAGGTAGCACAATAAATTCAAAAACAAAACCATATCAATCCCAAAGTATCACACGAAGAAATCCAAGAAACCATATTAAGAGCACCAGGAGAGTGAAAATTAAGAGTAACATTGAAGCTTGCAAGTTCTCCAATATAAAATATTCTACAGTTTATTAAAAATTTATAATCTCGAATCAGTGGCTCACAAGCGCATCCACAAGTCACAACACACATCTAATTTAGGCCCCAAAACTGAGTTTCATGCCAATGTATTAGAAAATGAAAGATGGCAAACCATTTAAGGACAAAAAATATTGCCAAAGGAAAAAAAAAAATAGAACATAGACAACTAGAAAAAAACAAATCGAATGTCTAACCCCTTAGCCACAAATACATAGCGCAATCGAATTGAAAAACCCAACCAAGTCGTCCCCCAAGGTAGGGAAAAGAAATCGGATGGACTGTATTGATAACACAAGAAAATAGAACAAAACATAAATACTAAAAAAATAAGGTATTGATAGCACCATAAAATAGAATAAGGAAATAAAGGAATTGTTGGTAGAAAAATATTTGTATATAAGAAACACTTAAAAATCTTACAGAATGTCCAATCTCTTAGCTACAAGTAAGTAGCACAACAAAAATCCCAAACCAAATTGTACCGAAGGCAGGGCAAAAGGTTGGATACACTGTAATGTAACGAGAGTAGTACAAAAGATCAAAATTAAAAACATGACGAAAAAAAATAATCTTAGTTGGAAAATATTAGTACACAAACAAACCTAATAAAAATCTATTTGAATGTCAACTCCTTGGCCAAAAATCTGGAAGAAATCTCTAGAGTATACTGCAAACCTAAACTCTAATCAAGTGCCCAACCCCATTAGTCACAAATAGGTAGAACAAAAAATATCAAAGCCCAGACAGGGTCGCCTCCAATGTAAGGGAAACAAATCAGATGAACCCTATTGAGAGATTGAGAGCACAGGAGAATGAAATAAAAGATCAAAGTTGAAAGGATAAGGAAAAGAATAGGTTACTGGTAGAAAATATTAGTAAATAGACAACAAAATTCTAATCGTATGTCGAACCCCTTAGACACAAATCGATAGCACAAACATCTTAGCCACGACTAGGTAAAAACCAAGACACTTCCCTGAGTAGGAAAAATAAATTGAACGAACCACATCTCGAAAGCAGAAAAGGATGGAATAAAATAAAATTAGAATTATAAGGAAAAAATAAGATAAATAGTAGGAAAAAGCACATGCTTACCGAAACTTAATAAATATCTGGTCTAAAAATCTATTTGAATGTCAACTCCTTGGCCAAAAATGAGTAGCAAAACCAAATTCAAAGCCCAAACGAAGTCATTCCCCAACGTAGGGAAAAGAAACCAATTAACCATATAGATAGCGTAGGAGAATGGAACAAAATATGAAAGTCGGAAAGAAAAAAAATGATTCCTTAGTAGTGAAAAATTAGTATATAGACAAGTAGATTCTGATGAAATGCCAAGTTGATGGAAGGAAACTTTCTATGAAAAGAATCAAGTGGAAATTTGACAGTTGAGATAATCCAGAAGTCCAAGATCCAAAAGTCCAGTAGAAATAAATCGTATGAAACCAGATGATGTAATTTATAATCAAAACAGTAACCACAGAGTGAAAGAGTTCTGCTATTGTCAAAAAACTGATGCACAACAAGGTTTGGACCGTCATAGTTAAGGCAGCAAACAATATACCACACTCATAAACACTGGATCTCGCTCAGATAAAGCACTAAGGCATCAAATTTTCCCAGATCAAATAATTGTATAACAGGAAGAAATTACAAATAACCAATTAACAATGCCGAAAAAAAAATCAATTAACTCAAAATCACCTACGACTAATTTAAAAGAACAAGAAGAAGAATAAGTAACCTGACTTGAATTGGATTCAAAAGACTTTAATCGCCCCGTAATTTGTTCAACGCTATTGAAATCTTCCTGCATTCTTCAATCGCTATTTTGACCCGTAACTTTGTTTTCCCAGAAGATCCAGAATCTTGACAATACAAAACGAACGGGGACTTCAGAATCGGAAAAGAAAAAATATGGCTACCGATAGAAACACTTCAAAAGCCCAACGCCACAAGTACACAACAAACTTACCTTATTCCTCTTGTCAAATTTCTTGCCCATCTTCGCCTGCTGGTAGTACAAGGCGATCAGATATCTGTCGGCAACGCTGAATCCTGAATGGTGTTCGACGGCGGCCTTGGCGTAGAAGATATCGTCGAACGCCAAGCAGGCGGTGCCGCGCGCGTCTTTGTTCGTGCCGATGCGGATGTGACTTGCGGTTATGTTGACGGCAGGTTACGAGCGTAGAAGACGTGGTTGACCTCCGCCAGAGACGGTGAATTTGAGAGATCTTTCGGAACATTAGGGTTGGAAATTTGGTTTTGGGACAGACTGATTAGGGATCTTTCCTTAAAAACAATTATTACTCATCTACTTTCCTTAAACATCCTTTCACTTCATTTATTGCACAACGGAAAAAAAATGCTAAATAACAAATATGTTTCGTGCAACACACGAATATCTATTAAAGTTAATAAATCAATTAATATAAAAAATATATTTACTTTAAATAATAATAAAATTCAGTGGAAAAAGATAATTTGATTAAAAGATTTTGATTAGTATTAGCTAACAATTGGCGTGATTTGTTACCAGAATCATCCTTAATTACTTCAATAAATCAGTCACAAAATATGAATGAGATAAGTTTGTTTATTTCTACTAGTACAAATCCATGTGATACATGGATAAGAAATATTCATCAATATTTATAAATAAAAAATGCTCATTAAATAATATTTATACATTTAAAATATGAAATCAATATATAATACAATTTACCTATATTAATTTATTAAAATGGTATATAAAATTTAAATTGTGCAAAATTACATAAAACATGTTTATTTAAAATTAGTGCACAGTCGTACTGAGCACGTAACTGATAATAAATTACATTATGTTCATTTCACAATAAGTGTCATTTTATATTTTTTATTCAAAAATTCGATTTGACTACAATGTGATTCTACAAAATAATTATTTTGGTAAAAATTTAAAAATATATGTGAATAAGAAGTATAATTATAAAACTTATATTGTTTCACTAATTAAAATAACTTTACTTTTATATAAACTATCCAAATTAAAAAATTTAAGTAGTTGAGTAATCTATTACACTATAAATAATTAACTATTTTATTTACGTCCAAGTTAATGTTGACCCGTAAGTTAAGATAATTACTTATTTTACTTTTAAACTTGGAACCCAAATTTACACTACACAATAATTTTTCTTATATAAATATATTATATCTCGTAATTTTTAGATTTGTTGTCGATTACCTTAATGTTCAAATTTATCAACTAATTCTCTAGAATTAAATTACAAATTTTAAACTTTATTAACCAATATTTGTTCAGAGATCTTTCTGATTTTCAAGAAGAATACATATCAATTTGTCGATTAATATTCATATCACCAATATCTTATGGCAAGCTATTACGAGAATATGCTAAAATTTGAAAATCATATCACCTTTATTTTATAACAAATCAACTTAAAATTCGACTTTTATATTCATACCAAAAAAAATTCACACCAGTTATTTGTTTGCTAAATTTTCAAATACACTTTTATCCATACCAAATAAAATTCATACCATTTAACTTCGAACATTTCATACCAAAATAAAATCGTCCACGTTATATCATAAATCATATATTTATTAATAACAATATATTTTCTACCAAAACTAAAAATAGTCATCAGATACCTCAAATAAAACCGTCCACTTTATAACAAAAATGAATTTAATAATTTAGTCAACTTTACCATAAATTGATTAATTAATTTCCACAGGCGGGATTTCTTGAAAAATTTTAAAAAATATTGTCGAGTTTAGTAATTTTAAAAATTCTAGGCGATGTTTTAATTTTTATTTTAAGTAAATATAAAACTTAATAAATATATAGATTCAAACCTTTTTATTCTTATCTAATCATTTTTTATTATTATTATTATTTTTTCAAACTTTTTTTCAATAATCGACAGTGGAAAATAAATTACCATATGTAATTCATCACTAAAAAACTTTTATTTGAAGCTCACAAAGTTTATAAACACAAATATTTTTATAAACTTATTTATTTATTTTTGTATATTACAAGAGAATTAAAATTCAACTTTTATTAACTAACCAAAAGATTATATTTTTAAAATACAATTTAAATAGTTTTGTTAACACGTAGAAAATTCCATATTCTAAAGAGATGGGTTNTTTTATACCATAATTAAAAAGAGAAATGCTATAGGTTGTACATAAGAGCATCTCCAATGTTATAGCTTTGAAAGACAATGATTTTTAACACATGTCAATCAATGATTGTAATGTTAATCCAGGTAGGAATAATATTAAAAGAGTAAAAATTTGAATCAAACTAATATCTCCAAATGCATCAATTTGATAAGGAGTTATTTGTATAGGTGGACCAATTAAAATAATCATTAATACAAGAATAATAAATAATTAAATCAAATATAAAGTGAATTGATTAGTCATCATGTTTAACATGGTGTTAGATATTAGAAAGTGTGTTCAACATTGTCAACATTAAATGCTATCCAACACATCATGAAAGAGTTCATGACAAGATGCATTGGAGAATAAATTAGTAACACACTTTCAAAAGTTAATGATATGGGACCGACCAAAAATAAAAAATCAAGTGCACCACACTCCATGTGAGTGTTATGCGCACCTCTATGTACATTTATTATGTACTTGTAGTATTTTTCAACTAAAAATAAAATCATATAAATATGATTTTATGACAATATTAAATATATTATGCTTAATATGTTATTTGTTCCTTGTAAGTAGACTAGTGGGTCATTGGCTGTGCACACTCAGCCAACCCGAGTGTTGTTATCCGAGTTGGGTCGACATGAGATTCTCGGTTCAGAGACAAAGAACCAAGGAAGGACGGCATAGGAACCCGGACCGGCCTACAGGCAATTATGAAACGCCGAGCTGACCGGGAAGCAAAGTTTATCGGAATGATGAGCGACACGAGCTTCTAGGTCAGCAACTCGGCTGCACAAGAGCAATGTCGACCTAACTAGGTACCGAACATGAAAATGGGGCCTCGGGGCTTAGGGAACAAGTTAATGGAGAAGATCCGACCTAGATTTCCAGAAGTCGACCCTCGGGCGCCTGTGGGACCTAGAATTAATTAAATATTGTCACTTGTCAGCTAATGATTGTCGATGGGATGTGCCTCCATACCCTGTCAACCTAGGGTACCTAGCTCGGCGGAAAGACCTGTCCGCATTAAATGCTCTACAGGGGGGGGGGGGCAGTAAATGCCTGACAGATAATGATTGAAAAAACCTCAAATCACATTTAATATCTGCCAGAGCAACGCCGACCTGCTCTGCGGGATCACTGTACGATGGGATAGGATGAATAGTGCATGAACAGTGCCGAATTTAAGGCTACTATAAATAGAAGACCCATCTCATTTATTTTGAGTTGTTGAAAACGTCAACTACTACCTTCTCTCTACATTTTCTCTCTTTAAGTCTGTAATAAGTTCCCGCAAAAAAACGGTAAGTGTAATAGAAGTGCCGACCTCATTTACAGAGGCCGACCTCATAATTATATAATAAATCCCATTTTCATCACATATCTCTCCCGTTTTACCTTTTTACTATCATAACATCTTATTTTAACTGTTGATCGGATCCGTCCATAAACAGTATTTTCATTAGTCTCCTTGCATCTTTACAAATACTCCTTCTAGGAGATGCTCGATCTACAAGTCGAGATAATACTATTTGCCTATCTATATATATTGAAAAAGAGAGGTCAATAAATCATTTATGGAAACTTTAAAAAAAATAATGAGTCAACTATTTGACTTACTATTATAAGTAATATTCTAAAACACATGTGATAATGATTTTCAAAAATTGTGGTAATCTGTTAGGATGCGATAGTGATAATGTTTTATCCCTGTTTTTTTTTAAACTAGTACGGTGCCCGTGCGATGCACGGGAACATTAATTATATATATATATATTCTTTAAAAAATATTTTTGTATTTAAATTGTCTCTTGCCATTAAAAATTTAATGAAAATAAAATTTATATGTTATTAAACACTTCCTTATGTACAACATTATTGACTTGATTCTTTGGCACGTAAAGTACTACATAGGTGTTCGAATTTTTCCAAAATTGCATATTATTAGTTATTAGTCAACAAATTTTAAAAAAAAAATTAAAAGATCTTATTTATTGAACAAAATTAAAGTACAAAAAAGAGTAAATTTTTTTAGGGATTTTCACTCATTATTTATTTTAAATCTTATTTTAAATTTCAATTAAGAAAAATTGAAAAGAATCATTACTTAGTTCCGGAAATGAAACTAATTTTCCTACCAATAAACCGATTTTTTTATCAAACAAATTGATTCGATTTTTTTTAAACCAAATAAAAAAAAATCATCAATATTTTCTAAAAATGCAACCAAATTTTCCTAACATTGCATCAATTTTTGTACCAAACAAATTGAATTGAAAATAATTCTAATAAAAAATTGAAATAAATTTTTAATGTTTATGCAACTGTCTATTTCCTAAAGAAAATGATATGAACTTAGCAAAAAAAATTAAAAATAATATGAACTTACCGAAATCTCGGTAAAACATAGTTAAGGAAAAACATAAGAATCCAAAAAAATCGATGTATTTAAATTTTGAAAAGTTGCACATAATTTTTCCTAAATAATTGGATAAGGTGACTTTAAATATCAATGATGAACCGCTTTTGTTACCAAAAAATGTGGACACGATTTTGAATGTACATCCCGTCCAAATATCAGTTTTATTTTAAAATAAAAATTTCACGTGGCTTTATCCAATTTACACAATTCTTTTGAAAGAAAAAATTATTCAATAAGATTGGAAGAATTGGTTAAGAATTATACAACTATTTGCTTCCTAAATTTGTATCCAATTTGCACGGTTTTGCATAAGAATCTCCAAATTTGTTACCAATAATAATATGATTTAAATTTTGGTAAAAAAATAAAATAAGATACGAAAAATATGGGATTCAAATTTAGCCATAAGAATCTCCAAATTTGTTACCAAAAAAATAGGATTTATATTTTGTTACTAAAGATTCACATGTGTCTTTTTGAATTTTCCATTAATAGTAAGTCAAACATTATATTTATTTGGTCAAACTTTCTATTAATGTATTTTTTCAACAACCTCTTTATATATATATATTGATATATAGATATAGATATCTTTGATAATCTGTTCAAATTTTTTTCCCTTTTTTTTAACAACTTTAACAACCTGCACAGATTTTTTTAACAACTTTAACGATTATTATGCTAATTAACCAAATCTAATTTTTTATTAACATAAAGGAATCTAACCCGTCCTTGACTAGCTCTGTAGCGTAACTAATTAGTGATGTTTCCAGATCCTTCATTAGCGATTCCTTTGAGCACACATCATCATTCTCTTTCTCCTCAGAGTCGAGCCCTCTAATTTCTGATTGCACGTCTTTTGGGACAACAATTTCCACTTCTACCCCTTTCTCCACAACAGAGAATTCGCTAATTCCACCCTCGCTTTCACAAACCTTCTCACCTGCATCATCTGAACAAAAATTATCCGACTCCAAATTATTCTTCGCCAACTTACCATAATCCTTTTCCAGCTCGGAGCCCGACAAAGGCAAGACTTCGTGAAGGTCCTTCACGTCCTCAGACGACTGGTCAAATGTCGACAGCCTGGCAGGGAGACTCTTCACCCGGCGAATCACACTCATCTCACCTGTGATAGAGTGGTGCTGGAACACGCGGAGGCCAGATTCGTGAGCCACTGCGGCAGGAGCTCCATCATGGAGGTTGTTATGTGCAGGATGCCGATGATCGGGTGGCCTACCTACGTTGATGTATTTAATCTTTCATTTAATCATTAAATAATTAATACTCACTTCAAAATTACAAAAATCATTTTAAACTTTTGATTAATGACAGTTGGCCATATAATGTATTGACCGTATAATGTGATTAGATGTTATTATTGTTGTTACATTTAATTTCTTTTTTTGAAAATAAAAGATATATTTGAAATTCCTAAATAAATAATAAATAATTCACAAATAAAAGACGTACCAACATATACATTACATCCAATCAGATAAACGCAATTTAAAAAAAAAAAATATTCCAACTCTTTTAATTGTAAATTTGGTCTGCAAAAAAGTGAAAGAAAAATAATTAATCATTATATGTACAAACTCACAATAATTTATTTATATATGTGCAAATGCACAGGTCGAATACTAGTGTAGTGTTGAATTACAAGAACTATTAAGTTTAGCCTTCTTACATAAATTTAGTTATCTTTTTGGATGTATACAATTATGATATACACAATTATGATATACAAACTTCATCTATAAATCCTGAAAGTTGTAAAGTATAAATATANTTCTTCTTCTTCTTCTTCTTCTTCTTCTTCTTCTTCTTCTTCTTCTTCTTCTTCTTTTTTTTGCCATTATTAGCATGTTGGAATGAATTGTGTTGAGAAAAATTTGTTTAGGGGCAATGAAGAACACGAAAAATAAAATAAAAATTGGAGGGCAAATGTATGCAGATGTGGTTCATGAGTGCGTTGCACTTGGGGCTCAAAGCCTGCAACTTAGCAACAATAACATGTGGTTTTTCTGTATTCCTGAAGCTTAGCTGTTCTCATCCTTTTTCGATTAAGATTTCGTTTTATCTGCTAGTAAAATCTTTTTGCCCATATATTATAAGAACATAATTTATTGTGTAGTTGCATTAACAAGACTACTTCGCACCTCTTGTGAATGTGTAAGGTGTGTGCATTATTATTAGCATGCATACAAAATAAAGATTTTAATTGTAAATTGGGAAAAATATCAAGTAATTGTCTTTGGTTTCTTTGTGAAACAAATTTTGTTTTGTACTGTGAGAATTGAATAAAATCAAGGGAGTATATTATGTGTGGGTGCAGAGTTATGAATATTTTGATATGAATGTTTCGCCCTTCATTTCTGCAATAAATTATATTTGACTACACATGTTAGAAAAAAATTTATGCTAAAATATATAAAATCTAAGTAATTAACATATATTACTATAAATTGGAAAAATTTAACTAATTAATAATTTATCAAGTGTCTTAAATTGAAAAATCATTAAGTTTTATACCTTTGAAATAAATAATATTACACCCGCTTTATATTAAATTATTTTAGAGACTTAATTTATTTACAAAATAAATATTGTTTTAAATCTATCCACAATTTTCTAACTTTAAGTCTACTTATTTAATGCTAATGAGGTATTAGTATGAACAACGAAATTTATTAGGAATTTTATGCATATATTAGATGTGAAAATGTTAAAAATTTTATATTTATGTACATAAAAACTTTGAACAATACTTATATGGACTTTTTAAATTTTAAATTATTACGTATCATTAAAAATAAAGAAAATTATTATTAAATTATTTCTATGTTAATAAATATTCTTCTACAATTTTTATGATGGATCATTATCGTCCCGTGCATCGCACGGGCTCTATACTAGTTTGGTATTTAACTAAAAGTTTTATTATAACTACGTCTATAAGAATGAGCTAACTTATTTAATCTTTTACATAGTGTTCACCACATAATCAGTTTGACCGAGATGATCATTTTGTATACTATCATTGTACACATGGTTCTACCTTGAATTTCTTTCTTACTTTACTCCTAGAAAGAAAGAGAGAATAAAGAATATTTTATATTTGTTGTATTTTCATTATAACTGAAACTTCTAACAATCGTAATAATACAATTACATCGAGAGCAAAATAGTCATTCATATACATTATTTTATAATAAAATAATTATTTGTTGGTTGGTGGTTGAACCACCCATATTTATAATAATCTCAACTCATTTGCTCTATACAATTGTCCTTCAAAACCACATGATTGGGTCAAACCGGGCTGTGCCCTCAAGTATTTTTAAGAAAAGGGCATTATACAATTGTTCTTCAAAACCACAAATAATTGGCTGTACTTCTAGTTACGTAAATATGGCATCAACATTTGTAGTTGACATCATTTGCACAAATGATTTTCTTTCAAAAATAAAATAAACAAAAGAAAAGCTACATGAACAAATAGGTTCTTGCATCTCCACTGCCTGAGTAGTTAAAAGTTAAACACAGGTGAAAAAGAAACAAATATGCCTGAGACAAGGTCTGAACAAGCTAATCTGGGTTAATTTCTATCATTGTCCAAAACCAGACAAGAGAATAATTCTAGAGTTTGGATCAGTACTCAGTGCACAAAGTTATAGAGTCGTTTCACCATCGCACGTCATTTTCTTGCCATAAATCCCATTTGGCGGCCTGAACAAGAGATATTTACCACCATATAAGTAACTCAATAAGAATAAAATCCATAAGATACTATCTTCTTCTAATTTACGAAAACTGATATTTTTTTCCCTTCAAAAGATGTTTATGCGGAAAAAAACATACGCGAGGTGCAGGGTTGTGTCTGAGACGTCACCATCACAATCCATTTCAGGGCTTATAGTCATAGAGCCTTCCTTAATGACAGGATTGCTCGTTTGCTCTGTTGAAGGGTACTCTATACCAAGGGGAGTAGTGAAACTTGATGAAGGAAAAAAGATTCGAAGCTCATCAACCTACCATTTCGTGTAAACCCCAATATATGAAATTATCATAAAGTTACAACAGAG